TGCGAGGCAACAGTGCTAACCACTGATCCACCTTGCAGCCCACATTATTATATGTACACTAGATATATACTTTTTAAAGCAGAAATGCCAAATATTTGCTGTTTTTACTTTCTGAAATGTGAGGACGTGCTGCTTTTCTCTGTTTTGTATACTGTATTTGTCAAATTCCTCTCGTTTCTGGATGGATAGTTTGACAAAACAAGAAAAAATAAACCTTGTGACACTCTCTATCACAGCTCCAAGAGAATCCTGGGAGCAGCAGTGACGAAGAGGAGGCTGAAGAAGAAGATGTTGATGTTGCGCTGAAGAAAGAAGTGGCACAGCTGCAAGCATCTGGAGCTAAACAGGAGAGACGCTTCCAGGCTCTCGACAGCGGAGCAAACAACGTCATCTTCATCAGAACTCAAAACCTGGGTAAGAGCTTTCACATCAAACTGTGTGTGTGTTTTTTTTCGCCTTTTAGTGCTCTTGTAGTTACAATTTGTGTCTTTTGTTTTTTTTCTGTCCAAGAATCTGACAAACTGGTTCATCACATCCTGTCTGATCTCCACACGACCAAGAAGAAGAAGTCACGCGTGATCCTCCGAATGCTGCCGGTGAGAAGTTAAATCACTTCAGTCAATCTGACTGTGTTTGATGTGGTGCAAGTGATTCAATAGGTGCAGCATAAAAAGATGTTATTGTAGAACAAGTAGAAGGGGGTTATTTAGCCAAGCATTTAAATGACTGGAATTAAAGTATCTATACCATCAAACATTAAAACCAGCTATACAAAATTGTGTAGGTCCCTCTGTGACCCATCAACCCATAGACAAGGGACCTCTAATACCCCTTTTCCACCAAACCGGTTCCAATGCTAGTTCCGTACTAGTGCCTGACTTGGCACCAGTTCTTTGTGTTTCCACCACCTAAGCACCAGCTCCAGGCTCTCAAAATTGCTGCTTAGCAAGCACCAACTTTTTGCTGGGCCAGAGCTAAGAAACGAGTACATCAGGAGGTGGGGGCGAGGTTATCGTGACCACCGAGACCGATGAATGTATGGGACACACAAGCGGTGATTCCTGTCGCTTTTCACCAGGACGTCCCTGTTCCAATCACTGATGTACTGGAATGAGTCCAGGGACACACGGAAGTTTTACACAAACTGTTGCGCGCTGAAATCCGGTACAATTGTGTCCCGCCAGCAGCACCACAGTGGTGGAAAACAGTACTTTTATAACTTCTGTATTTATGCTTTGAAATGCGGTCTTCTCGTGAAAAACGGAGCACACCTACATGCGCTGCTTATTCCACTCATAGAAAAAACTGCATGAGAAAAAATCACTCTGTTTAATCTTGGACAAATCTGACATTAGAACGCCCTAGTTTACTCTTTTCAGTCATTTTTAGTCGCACACCGATCTGAGCACCGCAGCCACCAACAGCAGCTACAGCAGCCTGCTATGTGGGGCGTTCAGGGAACATCGGTAAATTGTAGAGTCTATCAATAAGAAAATGTTCAGCAAGTCGTATGTTTTGCCTGTGACTAGGTGAGAAGTGCGCCCAAATGAGAAAGTTGGTCGCACCGGTAAAAAAGTTAGTCTGGAGCCCTGTTGTGGACTTCAGTATGGCACGAGTGTTGTTCGGTAAACGGCTACGTATGCAGTGACGCATGGCGTGGCTCTAACTTGGTTCCTTGCCGATGGAGAAGCAACCAGTTCTTAGATTGGAACCAACTAAGCACTGGCCCTAGCACCTGGTTCTTCTTGGTGGAAAAGGGGTGTAAGGGGAGTCCTGTAGTGTCTCACATCATCTGTCTGTAACATCCACATGACAGCCAGAACCAAAGCCAGAACGCTGCATTGTGACATGATGTTTTTCAGTTCTTCTGTCATTGTCGTAGCTCATCTGTGTTTTGTTTTTAAAATGAGACATTATTTGATATTCTCTTAGCAATCTGTCACACCGAGAATTTCAGGGTTTGAATCATGCAGTAAAGCAGCCCGGCTAGGTTACTTTTTTATTTTTTTTGATTGATTGTCTATTTTAATGACAGTGCTCGTCTTCCTGCATGAAAGTGTTCCACCAGAACAATTCACCCTGTCACTATTTTTAGGGAACACAGAAGCCGCATCCTTTGGTTCGCTCAGTCTAAGTTTATTTTGATTGGTTTAAAGAAATATAAACAAGCCAGAGGGTGCAGCCAGACCACTGTGTTCTACAGAGTGGGTTTGCTAAGTAAGACGGTTAGAATCCAAACCACTTTTAGCTCTGCATCATGTCTAAATGTTTTGTGCCACAAGTATAAAGACTTAAGTTACCACGCTGTCCTCCACAGTGCCTGATCCCTGTGTTCATCTCCTCCAGGTAACTGGAACATGCAAGGCCTTCCAGGAAGACATGGTGAAATATCTGACCACATTCCTGGAGCCTTGGTTCAAAACCCCAAACTGTGCTACCTACCAGATCGCTTTCAAGGCTCGCAACAGCAGCCACAACAAGAGGGACGAAATCATCAAATCTATTGCAGGTCTGTTACATTCATGTATTTCATGTTTGCTGCACTGCCGCTGAGGAAAGCTGACTTGCCCTTTTGATTGTGGCCACTGCAGGTCTTGTGGGGAAGCTGAACCCTAAAAACAAAGTGGATTTGACAAACCCCGAACTGACGATCATCGTGGAGGTCATCAAGGCTGTGTGTTGCATCAGTGTGGTGAAAGACTATACGCTGTATAGAAAGTACAACGTTCAGGAAGTCGTGAAAGAAGACGCGCCCAAGCCGGATGTGACCGCAGCAAAAACAGATTCGAAGACGGCCGAGCAGGAGGAGAAGCCCGATGCAGGGGAGACGGACAAAGAAGCGAAGAAAGAAGACGAGGACAAAAACGTGGCACGGGACAAGGAGGAGGCTGATAACGGTGAAGGTGGGGGGGAATAAAAGCTCACATTTACAGAAACCACACGGGCGGCTGGTGAGTCATCGTCTTGAGTTGCTTTATATTATAGTGCTTTTGTGTTACATGGACTGAAAACATAATTTTATCAAAGTAATGATGTTTGCAAAAGTCAACAATGATCCCTAATATAATTTAATGTTTTTTAATATTCATAAACTGAGCTGTCTATTTCAGAGAACAGTGGTTTTGGATTAACATTACATATCAACAACACAACTTTGCCAACCGCTGACAGTTTTTTAAATTTGCTTTTTGTGTCGTTTCATTTTGGACATTTTTACTCGAAGAAAGAGGAATTTTGCTCAGGTTAACAGGGGTGTCGCATTTAATAACCGTCTGGCTTTTGTAACTGTCGTTTCCTAAGCTAGTCCCTGAATTAAAACTACCTGCGTGTTTGACTGATTCCCCTCATGTTCTTTACTTATTCAGTGGTGTTTTGTGTTGTAGTGATTTATTGGCACAACAAGAGGAAAGTAGAGGAGGGAAACGAGGTTAAAGCAAAGGTAAAGGATGATCAAAGATGACATAAATACAGCATAGACATCTGTATGCTACGTCACACCTGTGGGGTGTAAAATGTTTTGACTCTTGTTTGGCGATTCTTTCTTTACTCCACAAGATGGAGTTAATACCTCATTTTGCAGAGCCATGAGAATCGTTGGGAAAAACTACACAATGGATTCTTCCCACGGATGAACAATTTCCTACAAAATCTTTAATATCGATAAAATCCTGCCTTTGTTTTAGCTGCATCATCTACATTTTCTGTCGTCTCTAAATGTCTTGTTTGTAACCGTGAACAGTATAGGCTTTCATACTGGTTTAAAACACACTCATTTACAGATCATGCTGTAATATATGTCATGACGGATGTAATTATTTTACACGTATCGGACAGAAAAGTCATTTAACAGGAACAGTTGAACCTGTGATGCCAAGAAACTGCACCGGTCTCTGGTGAGTTGATTAGTTTTTGTGTTTTTTGAGCGATAATATGCCTCAATAAAATTTGTCATAATATATTTTGGAGTTTTGTGGGTTTTTCTGTGTGAAGAGAATTTTCTGGGATGGTTTCTTTTTAGGAGATATTTTAAATAACTGAAGTGGAGTAACGACGTAGAGACAAGACTTTGCTATGAAGTTAATTCATGCAGTGACCAAGCTGACATGTTTGTGTTTACAGGTATAACGTTTCCTACGTTCACCATCTTATTTGACCTCATAGCACACTAGGATTTGCACACAAAGAGCAGCTGAGGCTAATGGGAATGTCATTAGTTTTGTAGCTGTTCAAGCATAAAAGTATAAGACAATCTAAAATTTTGACGTGATGATGATGAAAAGTCAAAGGATTAGATGCAGTCTGAAGGAGACGTGAGCATGTCGACTAAATTTCCTGAAAATCCAACGTTCAATATTTGTTGAGATTTTTCAGTCTGACTCAAAAGATGCGAATCAAACAAAAAGATGCCATCTTTGGAGCCATGCTGCAAAAATATGAGCACTGCTTTCTGTTCCGTGTTTGTTTAGTTTTCCCAGTGTTTGCAAAAGATCTTGCATCAGTGGCTTTTTTTTTTTTTTTTTTTCCAGAGTTTTTGCATCAGTTCACGTTACAGGTTCATACCAGAATATGTGCTCATATTTCTGTTGAATTATCCTGGGTCTGTCCTCGGCATCGACCGAGCCTTCCTCTAAAGGTCACAAACTGTTTTATGGTTTGTCTTTTTAAGATATTAGCAGGAGATCGTGGCTTTGTTTAGAGATTTGTGGGTGGACTCGTCAAAGCTGAAAATTTGAGAGAAACGTCTCTAAAGCAAGCATAAGTGAAGTCAGTGTGGTGTTGCTAATTAATCCTGATAAAAAAAAAAACAAACCCTCCAGTCGGTGTTCTCTATCTCCGTCACGTACACACTCGCATGCATTAACTGATTTGTGAATTCTTTTTCTGCTCATTACACTTGGGTTGAACTGTTGCTGTGACCTGCCAGTCATTATCTCCACCGTATTCAGCTAAAACTCACAAATTGCATTTCCACTGGCTCTCAGGTGCCCCAGTCAGTGAGACCTGCTGACAGGCTCGTAGTTCCACTGTGGAGGGGAAGGATTGGATGCTTGCAGCCTGCCAGTGTGTTATTAGTACAATACCAATTACTGTGTGTAACTAGCCTACATAATGGCTAATGTACAACGACGCCTCGTAATGATATGCCTGCTGTCAGGTGAAATGCAGATCTAATAGCATCATTCTCCATAGATGGGAAAGCATTTTTTCCAAATTGTTATTATTAGTAAGTGTTGTTTTTTTGTTTGTTTGTTTTCCAAAAAACTGCAATTAATAGCACCGGAAGGTTGTTAAAATTTCCTGTTCCCTGCATTACAATCATTCCCTGTAAGCTGACAGTTTTAAATGTTTAGCCAGCAACCGCATAATCAAAATCAAGAGAATATTTACAGTAGTTGCCAAATGGTGTTGTCAACTTGAAAAAATAGACTCTGATGTTTTAATTGCCCCCAAAGCCATGTCTAATTAAACCTCTGTGGGCACTAAAGCCCACTGGTTTCCAGCCAAAGGCGTACAAGCACGTACACACTGCTCAGCCACCCAGGATTGTTCGCTCATTCAGGTTTAAATGTCACAGGCCTGTGAAACAATTACATCCACGGGCGCATGTGCACACAGTCCCCAGGGTCAGGATTAGCATCCATTGGTGTGGCTCCATATCTGACCTTTATGAGTGGCTAAGTAGTGCTCTCCGGGGTCTCATTTGTCTCACTTTAACTGAACAATGGCCTCAACCCCCTCGCAACTGTAGCCTTCACTCTCTCGGAGCAGAATGGATGAGCTCAAGCTGAAATTGTTGAGCTTCAGAGCCCGTCAAGGACTTCAGGTCAACTTTTATTTACTAACGTAGATGAAATTGTCACTCCAGCCCTGGAAAATTTGGTTTCGAAATGTGAGCACAGCATCGTAACCATATAAAGAGACAAAATTCCAAAATGCATTTGGTTGATAGATGGCTGCAATGACAGAGAAAAATGTCTCAATGCTGACCCTAAATCTGATTTTACCATATGGATTTATCAGCTGAATGAAATGTGGAATCTTGAGGCCTCGAACACACACACACACACGCACACACACACACACAGAGCTTTATTTAATTATGAGAGCTGCTTCTGCTAACTCCAAAATGTCACTACTGAAGTCCTTACACATTCCTCATGTCTGAGAATCTGAAGGCCTCATGTGCGTTTCTTTGGTTTTTTTAATGGCGGCGTCCTCACAACAATGGGGAAATTAGCAACTGTTTAACTAATGTGGCTAACAAAGCTTTGATCACACAATGGTACTCTGCTTCACCCGGAAACAAGGAGCATAACCCCTTTTTTGTGCCATAAATGTATACTATAGGGCCTTATATAACTCAAATGTTTGAAGCAATCAAAGAAAAAAGGGGATGAATGGTTCGAGCTGGGTACTGTTGCTCTAAGATGTTTCGTCCGTCCACACAGCATCAGGCAGCTTTGAACTCTTGCACCTTACTTACCCAACCTGGCTCCATCTGACTTCTGCTTCCAAAGTAAAATCCTACTTGCCATTTCCAAAGTGATGATGATGAACTCATGCATGCTGTTTAGGAGTATCTGGAGCCTCTAGATGTGACCTTCTACAGGAAGGGATGATGAAGCTTAAATATCTGTTGGTCAATGCATTGAGGAGACTATGCTGAAAAAACAATGCAAGAACAAATTTTTTTTTTTTTAATATCTGTTGGTCAATGCATTGAGGAGACTATGCTGAAAAAACAATGCAAGAACAAATTTTTTTTTTTTTAGTCCTGTGACATTTTCTGGTGAAGCCGAACACGTACTGAAGTTTCAGAACTTTGTGGAAACTGATGCTAAGAGACCTTCAGGTAGAGTGGAAACTTTAAGACTGACGTGAAACCGGAAAACAAGGACTGTGTGGGTTACTGTGTTTCCACTTGTGCTTCGGTGCAACCTAAACCTAACCTCTCTATGCTCACTGCATTTTGATACAGCTGAATGACTAATGAAACTGTTCTCACATGTTTTTCTGTTTCTGTTGTCAGACAACGTAATGAGAATGAAACAGAGACTGAAACACATTAAGACCCCGTGTTAACTAGCAGTCCTGTCACAGCGTTGTCTGAAAAATTCACCAAACACATGAGTTAAAAACACTGGCTGTGTTGGAATTCTACAATATTTCCATGTAATATGATTGTAAATGGGCTGCAAGGTGGAATGGTGGTTAGCATAGTTGCCTCGCAGCACGAAGGTCGCCGGTTCACATCCCGGTGAGGACAGCTAGGATCTTTCTGCGTGGGTTCTCTCTGGGTTCTCCGGCTTCCTCCCACAAGTCCAAAAACATGTTGAGGTTAATTGGTGATTCTAAATTGTCCATAGGTGTGAACGTGAGTGTGCTTGGTTGTCTGTCTCTGTGTAGCCCTGAGATAGACTGGTGACCTGTCCAGGGTGTCTCCTGCCTTCACCCTGAGTCAGCTGTGATAGGCTCCAGCCCCCTGCGACCCTAGTGAGGATGAAGCGGTGTATAGATAATGGATGGATGGATGATTGTAAAGGATCAGCATAGACAGCAGCACCTCATCTGCATTTAAAGCTGTAGACAATGAAACAGCCTGTTAGAACAAGGCTAGAACCAGAAGTCATACAGTCATAATGAAATGAACCATCTCTCTGGTATGCTGAGCTAAAAAGAAAAAAAAAGAAAGACACCCTATTGGAACATACGAATCATAAATTTGCCAAAAGGACAATATGGGCCCTTTAATAATTCACCAGTCGAGTATTTGGACTGATATCAGCCAGACAGGACCGAGCCACAGTCGAGGATAAATCTGATATGCTCAATATTTTTCGTATTGTCCAAAATAATAACACAAAAACACCCAAACCAACAAGAGCGTGCTGAAAAGAACTCTCTTAAACCCATCAGTGGGCCACACAGTTGCACATGGTTTCCTACAGTGAACGAGGGCTCTGTAATTTACTTGGACTCATTCCCACATACACTGTCCTGCTGTTAATGCTCACAAGAGCGCCAAATGTTTGGTAATCTGCATAAGAACCCACCATATGGACCATTTACTCCCTAAGTAGTGAACGCTATCAGCCACAGGAAGCAGCTGTTTCAAGAAACTACGTGTTCCATGACTGCTGATGAGGATTTTGTCATAGGACTGAAAGCTCCACAACACAGAGTGGACAAGGAGTTGAGATTATTTTGTCTGTCACATTAAATAGCCAGTCTGCCACAATGCAATTGTAAAAGTAGAAAAGCTTTAAATTAAACCTGGCAGAACATTCAATCTTAACATTGATTCTATCCACAAAACCAATGATATTGTTTAATTTTCGTTGCTTTTATCTTGCGATGCTCTGGAGGGGTCTCAAACTCGACGCTGGGAACCACTGTACCAGAAGAGTGCATTACCAATTCTTCTTCTCACTCTTAAAAGGACAACCCCAGTCACTTTAATTCTAACTTTATAAGATTTTTTTTCTTAGTTAAGTAAGGCGTTTTGGCAGGAAGTAAATAATAAATGTAATAATGGCTAAATTCCACACTGAAATAAGTAAAACAGAGCCATTGTTCATGTTTTAACGTGAAAATGCTCTGCAGAGAAAAAGTCCTTAGGTCAGAGAGAAGGTAAAACTATTTCCAATATTCCTCTACCACTTGCTGCATTCATGCTTGTCAGCCCACTTAAAGCTAAGCTACCTCGTGTCTGCATTTTTAATCGTGATCTACAGGAGGCCGACAACTTTCTGCTGCATCCATCACAAGCAACACTCACCGGAAGACACTAAATGTGGTATTTACTTGACAACACACTGCAGCCACAAAAAAAATGACCACTGAGTTGGGCCCACATGTCCTCTGCAAGAAAAAGCAATTAGGATCCTTGCCAAACTGGTATTCTACTGCAGTGCTATTGTATAATAAAGGCTTTTGTTTGTTATTTTGTCCATGCCC